TTTGGGGTTAGGGGTTAGGGGTTAGGGGTTTGGGGTTAGGGGTTAGGGGTTAGGGGTTAGGGTAGATAGTGGCACTGCTTATAACGAAGGCCCCTGATCCTCCAAGGACACACGAAAGCAATACAAACCCTGGCAAGACCCTTATATAGAGACCTTGTGCAAGCTCTTACGAAACCTTTAGGGTTTAGGGAATGACTCTTAGAGATAGAACCCTTGTGAACCCCCTTGACAAATTCCCTGTAAACGCCATTCAAAAGCCCTAAGAACCCGTGATCCTTTACAAACTTCGAACTATAGATATAGATACAGCTATAGATAGAGATAGAAATTGAGATTGAGACAGAGACTGAGACCGACAGAGATAGAGATGGAGATAGAGATGGCGATAGAAATAGAGATAGAGACGGAGATACAGATAGAGATAGGGATAGAGATAGATAAAGAGATAAAGATGGAGCTGGAGATGTGGAGATACAGAGATACAGAGATATAGATATATATATTGCAGATATGGATTTAGATATAGATATAAATAAAGATACAGACCTATAGATGCAGATGTAGATGTAGATATAGATATAGGCATGGAGATATGGAGATACGGAGATATAGAGATACAGAGATAAGGAGATGCAGAGATATAGATATAGAAGTAGATACAGACACAGACATAGATAGAGACAGAGGTAGAGAGGCAGCGATATAGATATGGAGATATGAAGACACAAAGGTGCAGAGATACAGAGATGTAGATATAGATACAAATATAGATATAGATATGGACACAGAAGATATGGAGACATGGAGATGTCCAGATAATGTAGGGGCCATAATGATTAGCACAGGGCTTTGGGGCCCACTATACTATTATTATGATAAGGAGCCCCCAAAATAGTGTAGTTAATTATTCAGGCCCCTAGATAGAGGCATAGAGATATAGGTATAAAGAGATACAGAGATATAGAGATATGAGAATATAGAGACATAGAGATATAGAGATATAGATATGTAGATATGTAGAAGCGTAGACACATTTAGGATATATAGGTATATACCTTAATAGATATATAGATATACAGATAAACACGTATATAGATACAAACATATATATATATATATATACCTATGTGCATATATATATATATATATATATGACCCCACACAAGCAGGCGGGTGTCCTTCTCGACTGCGAGGTTTCGTAGGCGAGCCGGGCAAGGCCTGACAGGCTTTCGCGGGGCAGAACCCTCAGGAGACCTATGTTTTGGGCTTAGGGTTTAGGGTTTAGGTTGGAGGTTTAGGGTTTAGGGTTTCGGGTTTAGGGTTTAGGGTTTAGGGTTTAGGTTTTACGGTTTAAGGTTTAAGGTTTGGGGTTTCGGGTTGAGGGTTTAAGCGGGTCCCTGCACCGGGGGTCTGTGTTGAGGTCTCCTGAGTCCTCTCTTCTGAAACTGAGACCGAAACCATTTAGGAGGGCTTAGGGCCTCGGGGTTGAAAGTTTTAGGGCTTAGGGTTTAGGGTTTAGGGTTTAGGGTTTAGGGTTTAGGGTTTAGGGTTTAGGGTTTAGGGTTTAGGGTTCTGGGTTTAGGTTTAGGGTTTAGGGTTTAGGGTTCTGGGTTTTAGGCTTGGCGCTGACATTCGTCGGCACTTGCTCGCGAATCGCGCTCGCCAACGCCAGTTGCTCGGTGAAACTCATAGCCACAAGGCCTAGCACTTTGGCTGCGACGACCTCACGCGCAACGATGCACTCGTGGATCACACGAGGCATTGCAGCCAAGCATTTTGAAGTTTAGGTTGAGGGTTTTGCTGCTTTAGGGTCTACGGCTTTAGGGGTTTTTGGGCTTGGGGCTTAAAAATAATCAGTGTTGGGTTTTAGAGCGTCCATGAAGCCTTAGCAAAAGCCGTGCCTGACACTGCCTTTTGCTATTTCCGAATTCTGCGGTTGTGGGGTCGATACTTCTCGCTGCCATAATACTCCCGCCGCTAAGCTTGCGGTGCAAGGCAAAGGGTGGGATCTCGACTCAAACCCACAACTATGACGATTCCCCTCGGGTCAGCGACCGTCCTGAAACATCAAACCCCCAAAACTTAAACCAGAAACCTGAAGCAATGAGCCTAATGAAACCCCAAAACAACAGCCCAAAGCCCTCAGCCCTAAACAACAAAACTCTAAACCCCAAACCCCGAACAACAAAACCCCCTAAACCCTAAACCCTAAACTCTAAACCCCAAACCCCAAACCCCAAACCCTACGCCCTAAACCCAAACCCTACACCCCTAAACAAAACCCCAAAACCCAGAGCTGATCCCTGAAAAATGGGCGTTTAGGGTTTGGGGTTTAGGGTTTAGGGTTTAGGGTTAAAGGTTTGGGGTTAAACGAGCCCTACTCTAGCTATTAAGGCCCCTGTCTTGACCCCAAAAAACCCCTTAAAGCAACCCGTTTTATGATTTCCCTAAACCCTGAACCCTGCACCCTAAACCTTTGAAAGAACCCCTTACAGGAACCCTATTTTGATTATTAGTAAGGCCCATCTAGCAGACAAGATCGCGCGCCCGAAGCTCGGATAAGCTCCCACTGCTTGAGCCTGGGCGTATGACGCTTTTAGGGCGTCAGGGCTGTGGGGGTCTCGGGTTAGGGTTTAGGACTGTAAGGTTGCAGGGTTTAGGGTTTCGGGGTTGGGGTTTAGGGGTACGGGTTTGGGTTTAGGGCTTTGGGTTTGGGGTTTGGGGTTGAGGCTTTAGGAGTTAGGGGTTCGGGCTCAAGGCTTAGAGGAATATTCCCCGTTTAGGGCCAGGGCGACGAGCCTGTAGTTTAAGGGCCTTAGGGCCCTAAACCCTAAACCCCAAACCCTAAACCCTAAACCCTAAACCTTAGGGTCTAGGGGTGCAGGGTTTAGGGTTAAAGGGCTTGGGGCTCAGGGAAAAGGACTGGAGGATTCCCGAGGCGTGCTTGCTGCTGGATCTCAGTCTGTGTCCCATGGCTTCAGGCTTTGCGTCTGGGGCCAAAAGTTGCCCAAACCAGTTTAGGGTTTAGGGTTCAGGGTTTAGGGTTTAGGGTTTAGGGTTTAGGGACATACTCTCCGCGATACTGTACGTTTGTGTGCATGCTCGATCCCAGCAAATAGCAGCAGTACTTGGTGGTGGCAGTTTTGTTGTCGTGCCAATGGTAGAGGCGGAAGTGGTAGTTGTCATGACACAGTAATACCGGAAGTAATCCTATGTGGGGGTTTCCGAAATTAGGGGACCCCACTATAGTACCCTCAATAGTAGGATCCTTATTATAAGGACCCCAAACAAGGTACCCCTTATTTTCAGAAACTCCTATGTGCCATCTCCAAACAACCCGTCGACAAGGCACGCGGTCGGAGCCGACGGCGAAGAA